TTTTTTTCTCCACTTTCCAGTCACCAAGGGCAGTGTTTGGGTCTTTCCTGTAATCACAACACTGAGTCCAAAGTCGAGACTGCAAGCTGCTTCTATGCTGAAATCACCTTCGAATCCTCTCAGACGCAGCCAACTGCAAGGAGCCTGTTCATAGCACCCAAGTTCTCATACTTACTGGCCAAACTGTGAACAGTCCCTTAGCACCAAGGGCAAGATTTCAACTGGTCCCTCCCGGCCCCATCTCCTGTTTTCATGCTCCTCTGTGAAGGGGAAGGCAAATACAGCGGCAGGTGGGATGGCAGATACCTCAGTGCTGCATCTGCTGCTACCTCCAAGGGAGCAGTCTGCCGATTTAGGCTGGTGACCACCGTGTGGGGCAGCACTGGAGGCTAGAGAAAAGCTCTCAGAAGCTGGTAGAAATCTGCATGAAACTTTGCTATGTAGTTTGGATGTGGACACAGAAAAAAGAGAGACAGAATGAACTGTGAGCTGAGTTTAAAACTTTAAATACAGTGAGGGCCTGTATCTCTGGTCTGCCATTGATTAGCTTACATTTTTCATTTTTCTGATATGCTTTTTCATTCTTTCACTCTTTTGCTTTTTGTTTAATTTCTGATATTATTGACAGAAACATTAGGGTGAACCCTGGTGCCTGCACTTTCTTCTTAGCAGTTAGAAAGACAATAGATTAGCTGCATTTGTCTTAATTTCTTATCTATCTATGGCCCAATGTCCTTTCTCTTTAGAAACAATGTATGTTTGCATTTGCAATATTAGCTTAGTTGAAATGCTGGACAATGTAAAGAGGACCTACCATGTAGATAACCTAGTCATGCTTGTTGAGACCATACAAGGGAGAAAGGGAGTTGGAAGAACTGCCCGTGACAATAGTCCTGTCAATTGCTGCATCATATTTTCCTTAAACATGATACTCGCAGCAGCTGCATGCTGAGTTACCCTCACTGCCCCATGATAGCCTGGAAGAGATGAACATTTCATATGTCACCCCTCAGGGCTTGCTGTAAATCAGATGATGTCGCTACCGGTTTTCTCGGCTGACTGTCTCAAAGGCCATTAAATCCCCTGTGCCATGCAGTGAGCTCTATACTACATCACTTACCAACCTAGCATGCTCACACATTGAGTGTAAAAGTATCTTTCCCTGCAGCAGCAAGACACATTTACGTAGCTCTTTAATTTACTGTTCTTAAATGGCATCTGTGTCAGGGCGATTCTAAGGTCTGTGGAAGGCCCTTGAACAAGTGTGCAGCTTTATATTGTTAACAGTTTGACAAGAGAGTGATTCATGTGTGACAACCTTTAATGTTTGAGATTTTGCTGCTGTGGATATTATTTGGAGAGCAATTCAGGTGAGTTACTCTGGGAGCACCGGAGCTAGGGAAGGCTCTTTTCTGATGGTGCTTGTGCTGAGTGTTCCTGCTGGTTGCTGTAGTGCTGACCCTGTTACAGAAAAGAAATACAGAATTACACTTTCAGAACAATAGTGTTGTAATCATGTAAAATTATATCTGGAGACAGTGGGGTAGGCACAGATAGATGGATGGATTATACCATACAACACTTTCAACCAGTGGCAGCCTTGGGAATAGAATTTGCACCCACCAGCTCTTTGCAGAAGTATAAGAGTTGTTCTGCTTTGGGGACAGTGAGAGACTTAAGCCTACAGCTCCTGTGTTCTCAGCCTGGAGAAGAGAAGGCTCCAAGGACACCTTATAGCACCTGCCGGTACCTAAAGGGGCTGAAAAGAAAGCTGGAGAGGGACTGTTTCCAAGGGCATGGAGCGACAGGACAAGGGGTAATGGGTTTAAGCTGAAGGAGGGTCGATTTAGATTGGGCATAAGGAAGAAATTCTTTACTGTTAGAGTGGTGAGGCATTGGAACAGATTGCCCAGAGAAGTTGTGCATGGCCCATCCCTGGAAGGGTTCAAGGCCAGGTTGGATGGGGCTTTGGGCAACCTGGAGGGTGTCCCTGCCCATGGCAGGGGGTTGGAACTAGATGGGCTTTGAGGTCCCTTACAACCCAAACCATTCTATGATTCTATGAAGTAGGAAATCCCAGGGATGTACTTGGCCATGGGTACTGAGAGAGAAGTGTAAAAACAGCTCTAAAGCATGTGTGCTGAGTCTGACAGAATGCTGGATGTTTGGTCAAATTCCTTTTTTTTCACGTACATAATTTATGGTTAGAAAAAGACCACCGTTAAAAACAACCAACAACAACAACAATGGAAGAGCCATCAAAAAACTGAGCAGTGAAAGTCTTATTTAGGCAGCAAATCCTGCTATCTCACTGTGGAAAATTATTACCCTTTATGTACAGACTCATGGTATAGAGATATGAAGCTCTTGAACTCTAACCAGGAGCTGGAGGAATACCATCATGATTTTGTTTCTGTTTCATTGTCATTGAAACCAAGATGATAAAATGGCTGACACCACCTTTACAAGGAGTGAAAGGGTTAGTTAGACAAGTTTTTCATAACACTTAAAAAGATTCAAGAGCTGGTACTCTATGTTAAACTAGGATTCAGAAAAGATTAAAATAATTAATTTCATCTTTCATAGAAAGCTGGATAGTAAACTACCCTAAAGGCCTCTGTTCTGTTTATTGGATTACTTTGAATTGTGCTTTCGACAGGCACCACACTGTTGTTTATGACAGTTACTAGGAAACCTATGGACTAATAATTTGCTTTTTAGGTATAATTGTCAGCTAAATGAAGAGTTTGCTTCAGAGTCAGTCCTGGTATAATCTGCTAGGTAACAGACTAAGTAACATCTAGAAGATCTATGTCTTGTTTGCAGGTAAATAAGCATCTTTCAACAGTAAGATGAACTTAAAGATTAATTTAAAACTTAAAAACATTAAGTTTCTCTGATGACTTTGTCACACCTGCTCTGTTATTTTTTTTCAAACAATGTAGCAGCTCTTCGGAAGTGTGAATCATGAGCATAAACCTCATGAAATTCCAATAGCTGCAACATGAAATTTTAGGTCTTCTGGATCTGGAGAACAGAAGTAATAAACAGAATTTGAGGTGTTCTTAAAATAAATTTAGGTTAGAGCTGAAAATAAAGATGATATTTCCAAACTTATAAGTGATGGATCAACCTTTTCAAGCAATGTCAAACCTGTTCTCCAATTCATGAAATAAGTGTGGAGCAGTAGTTCTTAGGTCTACCAAGGAAACCAAGAATATAACCATCCTTTGGCTCTGAAGAGTGCTAAAAGTTAAAATATTTCAGTGTCTCATTGCAAAGACCATAGCTGTGTGCACGGGTAGGATGTATGCACAGTTTCTATGGCCACACTGTTTTGCCAATGCAAATATGAAGATTGCATAGGAAATTATACTTGTGTGTGTCTGTTTTATTGTACCTACTATTCACTGCCTACCTGGACAACTGAATCTCCAATTTTCTCTACTGAAGCTGATAGCCAGAGTGACAAATGTAGTTTGAACTACTTAGTTTGAAGTAGCTAGTGACCACCAAACGTCTGTCTGATTCAACAAGTTTCTGCAACTAGAGTTTGTGTTGTAGCTTGATAACCATTAGTGGCTTTAGCTTGATGAGGTTTGTTAGTTCAGTTTGGTAGCCAACCTGAGTTTTTGACTCCAGAAACAAATTGTGCACCGTCTTTATGATTTCTTTTCAGTGCTGCAAGTGGTAGTGATGCTAGAAGAGTAGCTATCTGCTTGTCCTCCTTTGCATCTGGTCTGTGCAGTAACTTCAATAGCTGTTAAAAGGAAAGGCATATTTAACTGTAAAAGTTTTATTTGTTTCAGTCAGCTGTAAAAGCAAGTGCTAATGTTTGTAAAATAATTTTTTGGACAAGTGGCCCCTTAAGCCATTTACTGTGCAATTCTCATGAAGGCACTTTAAAGTGGCAGATATATCTATCTCATGAAGAATAATCTAGTGCACTGAGCATACACCAAACATATTTTCCAGCTCAAAGGTGTGCAAATTCAGGGAAACATGGACAGAGCTCTTAGATGGGTTAGAGTCCAACATGGCTTGGTCTAATGAGATCATGCATAGTACTGTAGAATCTCTTTGCACCTGTGTTTTTCAATAGTATTGCTTAGTTATGAAGGGTGATATCAGTTTTCCGCTATTGCTAGATGCAGCTTTCCTGTGCATAAATATTTCAATATCTGAGGCATTAGTCCTTTTTTACTTGGAGAAACTACTCAAAACTCTGGAAGACCCACCCTGAAAACTTTGTCCATAAGAGTATTAAAGACAATATTTTCTTGAGAATATGGGACAACTGATGCATAAAAAAAGTTGAGGGATTTAATGCAATTTTATTTCAAAATATAATTAGTTATTTGTCAAAAAATGAATTGGTTATGTTCATGTTTCTGTGAAATAAATCAGGCATCTTCAAAAGATATGTGTTCCAGTTACCTAGGAGCATTAAACTAATATCAGAAATGAAAAATCCAAAATACAGTATAAATATTTTACTCTCATTTACTTCCATGTTTTCAGACTTCTGACATAATCCTGTTGCCTGTTTTTGCAATATATTGAAGAAAGGAAGCTTAATCAGCAATTTTGTTTATTTTATAAAAGAAAGCAAAACAGAAATGTAACACAGCCTTGGAAAATATAATCTCCTTTTATTGTGTATTGTTAGTTATTATTAGAAGAGGAAACCTTTTTTGTTTGCCTTCTGGGGCATTTTTAATCTTTTTATTCAGATTTTAGTTATAAAATTGACAGAAGCAACCAAGATGAAGTTTAAAATGTGCTGAAATAATAATAGTCCAAGAGATGTTTAGGACTTTTAAGCTTATCAACAAGGCACAATATTGAAGTATGGAGAAATGACCTTCAGAGGTTTGGGGTTTTTTTTTGTATTGTCAGAGGCATAAACAGGAATATGCAAGTATACAATTTTTTCTTTCATGTTTGCTTTTTTGAACTGTTGGTAAACATTATAACTCTCCACCTTTCTTGTCTTTCAGCCACATAATCAATGAGCTGATAGAAACAGAACGGGTTTATGTAGAAGAACTCCAAAGTATAATAGAGGTAAGAAACTCTTTTGAAATGACTTCTGGTGCTTGACCTCTAAGTTATCGCTGCGGGACCACATCCTTTGTGGGCTGAGCTCTCTCACCTCCCACCTCGTGTTTAAAGTACACAGCCTCTGTTAGCAAGATAGCTCAGCCTTGGAGGTGGAAAACCAGAAGATGTTTTTCAGCCTGGAGAAAAGAAGGCTCCAGGAAGATCTAGTTGTGGCCTTCCGGTACCTGAAGGGGCCTACAGGAAAGATGGTGAGGGACTGTTTGTCAGGGAGTGTAGTGACAGGACAAGGGGTAATGGGTTTAAGCTGAAGGAGGGTCAATTTAGATTAGATGTTAGGAAGAAATTCTTTACTGTTAGAGTGGTGAGGCACTGGAAGAGATTGTCCAGGGAGGTTGTGGATGCCGCATCCCTGGAAGTGTTTAAGACCAGGCTGGATGGGGCTTTGGGCAATGTGGTCTAGTGGAGGGTGTCCCTGCCCATGACAGGGGGTTGGAACTAGATGGGCTTTGAGGTCCCTTACAACCCAAACCATTCTATGATTCTATGATTCTACGATCTTTCCTCAGGGCTTAAAGGAAGAGACATCTTTTCTGACCCCAGCCCACAGAATGATAGAAGTTGCATGGTTCTCAAAGTTAGGCACAGAGGAATAGTTCATAATGTACCTTTTCAAAATATCACCAACAGGCCTCAGAAACAGCACCCTTGGTTTCCATGGGGCCAGGCACTGAATTTCTGTGAAACTACGTGTGGAAAACGATTGAGGAAAAGGAAGGCCCTCATCTCCCTCTTGTTTATTGTGCCATGCAGTGTCTGAACACAGAAAGAGCAGCTCACACTGCAAATATAACTCTTGAGCTTTTGAAACTCGTAGGATACCAGCACACTCCGTGTGTGTGGAGTCTGAGGTCCCTAGTCTGTGGGAGGATGGAGGCTGAGGAGGGCTCAGTCACGCTTGTATTTGTGTGGGACTTGAAGGACTGAGTAGTTTCTTTTTACACCCACGTGGTTGCTTTTTTATTGGATTTGATCTGTGGGAGCTGACAGGTCTGATAATTGATATATTCCTCTTGAGTTTAAAATCTGCGCTCAGAATGTTCTTCTCTCAAAGTTTTTATTGAAGATATGCAATCCAGTTTCTATAAGAAACAACTAAATAATCAAGCCAAATACCACAGTTCAACACATAAATCCAGACTAACCCTTTTGCAATGAAGCAGTGTAGCATGAAGTTATGTTTCTATCAAATTTAGCAGTTTTCATCCCTATGTGACTAAAATGGCTTTTGAATGCTAGGGACATAATTTAACTTTTTGTGTTGATCCAGTGATCTGTCCGTTTGTGGTTTAAAATGTGTTCACACAGCTATCAGGGGTAAAAGCTCTGTGGAAAATTAGAAGCATCTGAAATTCATGGGAACAACAAAGAAGCTGGCATAGGAGAAGCCTTTGTATGTGCTGCTGAGAACAAAAAGGACATAGATTTTGGGGCTTTTCCATGTCTCAGACACAGTACTTCTTCCCTGGTAAAAGCAGGCTGTGGTTTTATTTTCTACTCTTCTCTGCAGGGGTATGCCTCAGAAATGGACAATCCCAATTTAGTACATCTGATTCCATCTGCACTCCAGAACAAGAAGGAAATTCTTTTTGGAAACCTCCCAGAAATCTATGAATTCCACAACAGGCACGTGGGAACCGGTGGTTGTCCTGCACCCTCGGGTGCTGCTGTTATTTCTACTCCCTTTATGTGGGGCGCTTTGTCTCACTCACACATATGCAGGCAGGAAAAGTCATCCTCACTTTGCATCTGTGTGTGTCCTGTAAAACCCATGTGTGGAGAACACCTCCGAGATCATCTATTTCATCTTTTTTCGTGAAAGATTATACCCTTTTGTGCATTTACTAGGATTTCCCCGGCATTATCCATTTTGAATGTCCCTCATGGTGAATATTTTACCACCTCTCTTGGTACACTGGTAGATGTCACAGGGCTAAATGCTGATGCTCATTCTCCAGCAAAACTCCTCTAAGAGGAAATTTCCTTAATGTTCAGCTTATTTGTCATATATTTCTGTTATCACATCAGAAGACATAATATATTTGATAGCATTTTTCTTAAGGAATTTTATCCTTTACATGATCATAAACTTTACCAGAAGCCTTGTGATCTACTCCCCGTAACTACAGACTACTAATTATGAACAAGATTAGCCTCTTTTTGATCCTCTTTCAAAACACAAAGCTTAGGGCTACTTCTGTAAATGTCCTGCTTTTCCTAGCCTTGATTAAGTAAAACTGGCTGTAGGCAAAGTGAGAATTTAGGAATTCTTTTGGATACTAATTGCTCCTAAGATGTAACAAACAATTCAACTAACTAACTAACTAACTAAATCACTCTTTTACAAGTGTAAATAATATGCCAGGGTAGTTGATACATAGTAGAAAAATTCTTTTCCAGTTTACATATTTTTTTGAAAGAATGTATCTTCCATTTGGAGGATGAGGTTCCCCTCCGGGTGCAAGCCTGGCCTTACTTTCCTTAAAAGCTTAGTGCATTGACTGCCACTGCTGAAGCCTTTGGACTACATCCCATATTTTCACTGCTTGCTGATTAGGCAACTGCATCTGACAGAGCTCTTCTGTCTTTTCTAGCTGTTCTGAAAAAATCCTCATAACCAAATAGGAAGGAGGTGTTTGGGCTTCATATTGGCAACAAATCTCAACAGCCAGAGGAAGCAGATGTATCAGATGCTTGTGAGCAGATGAAAACATGATAATATTAGTGATTCAGGCAATCAGCTATGAACCACATCTCATTTTTCTAAAATATATATATTTTTCTTTGTGTGTCAGAATTGTTACCTTCCCCATTGAATCCTCGTACTACAAAAACATAGGCTTTAAGCTGGATTTACACAGAGGCTAGCACAGTCTGAGTGTGATGTTACATTACTGTTTGCTTTCCTTTTTCCCTTTCAGGATTTTCCTTAAGGAGATAGAAAATTGCATTGAAAACCCTGAGCTTCTTGCCCGATGCTTTTTGAAAAGAGTAAGTAAATCCTTTTGCAGGTTTGTAAGAATATCTATGGTCTTATCCTACAGTACTTACAGATTTACTCCTGTCCTTTCACTCTGATTGCTTTTGTGAATGAGGGAAACTCACATAAGCAGATATTCCAAAATTAAGCCACAGTTAACAAGTGTGTATTCTGAAATCTGAACCTTTACCTGGTTTACTGACAGGAAGAGATCTGTTACTAGTGTATTTTAAGCCTTGGTTGAAAAAAAATAAAAAATCAGTGAAATCAGTGACTAAATGCTTTTCATATCAGACAAATCTATACCAACAATCCGATGTATCCCAGACACCACCTTACTGTAAATAAGCAGAGAACAGTATCACAGCAGATTGTTCTGAGGGCAGACAGTACATCCTGTTCCTGCCTTATCTTATCTCTTTTCTCTGAACCATTCAGGAGACTTACTCCCCTAGAACTGGTCCAGCAGAGTCTACCACCTTCCTTGCGTGGTGAAACCCCACCAGCTCCATAAGACTCTGTAAAGTCGATTCCTGTACTTGCTCACTTAATCAACCAAGCGGGATTCTCCCCACTTGTACGAAGTGGTGAGGGTTAGCTGTTTGTTTAAAAGTTGAGAGAGCTCAGTTTGTGAGAAAGCCCAAAGCTGGTGGGTGGCTTTGGTCAGATGCATGTGTCTTTGTTTTCTGTGACTTTTGGTGCCTAAAATCTGCAACTCTTTCCTCCGACATCTCCCAGTCATGTCGCTCCCCCACCATCCCCCCCAGTTACCATGGCTGTTAGTTCTGTTTCCTATCACTTAACAAAAGGTGCTTGTTTATATAGTGCTCATTCAGAAAAAACCTGTTTGGGTGGGTTGCTGCCGTTTTCATAGTCTGACAAAACTGTTTGCATAAGATCCTGTGTTTTGCATGGGAAATGGAAGAGGCATGAGAAATGGGAAAATCTGTCTTCATCTCTGTAGTCAGAGGTACCTGCTGCTTCCACTGTGTACTACATCTGCTTTTCCAGGGTACGTTTTGAATCTTTTTTCAACAAGGTGCTGTATGAAATACAGACAGATTGGGATGAAACATAGGTACCCCAGTTGCCAGAGGTGTCAAGCACTGCCACATCTCTAAGATTTCAATGGGAATTATGAACATGTGATACTTCCAAAGGGTAGGCCCCCAGTTTACAAAAAGGTCAGGCTGAAGAGCATCATACGGGTATAAATGTGATTATAAATCTGCTGTATTATTTTCTGTTTAGCAGCGAAATATTTAGAACTTCAGTAAATTACACTACTGAGGAATATGTTGTTATCCTAAGATTCAGATGCTGAGCAGGAAAATATTGTGGCGAAATCAATATGCAAAATAGGATAAACGGTCTTTGAAGAATGAAAACCTTTGAAATCCAAAAAGCATAAAATAGTCTGTATGTTGCAAATATCCCTGGATTTGAAGACAAAGAGAAATTCTTGATACAGAATTGATCCTATAATTCTGCAGAAAGTTCAAATTCCATGTTTAAATTTTATAGCTTATGTCTGTCTGTAAAAACAGCTGTTGAGCCCAGCTCTGCTCACTATTCTACCAATATGAAATCAGCAGCACTAAAGCTATGGTTCGGGTATGATGAAGTGAAAAAAAATGAGCCTTTCTGTCACCTTTGCATATCAGTTTTTATGCCCTAGTCAAATAACAGTAAATCTATTGAATAAGAGATTAAATCATGCATTTGGTTTCTGCTTCAAATTTCGCGCTAAGAAAGCAAAAGCGTCTCTCCTGAGATGTCTCTGCTCACACAGTAGCACCTTTGATTCAAGAACTTGCCCTTGTGTTCTGTTTTTAGAAGAAGCCACATTAAGTCCAGAAATTTGTTGTTTCTGTTGGACTGCCTTTAGGAGGCACAAACAAAAGTCTGGTTGTGTGTTTGTGTTCTCCATGATCTGGCAGCTTTTAATGTCTTCCTGCGGAGCAGAGGCTTCTGGCTTGCCCTGTGAGTTATGACCGAGCTTGCTTTGGCATGGGAAAACTGAAATGGCTGCTGTTCAACGTGATGCTGAGTTCTGGGAGGAAACTCACATTGTTGCAGATTCATTTCTCCATTTCTCTTTCTTTATATGGGTGTTACCATCCTGCCACAACATTGTTTTGGGCCTGTGATTAGAAACAGACTGATTTTTGGAGTCATACTTGAGGAACATTACCCTGTCTGATCACACTGGGACTTGTCAGCCGTGATTCCAGAGATGCTTGAAAGTGTCCCGAGAGCTGTGGTGGGACATCCCGGTACCTGAGTCCCTCCATCCCCTGACAGTCATTCTTCTGCCATGTCCCCACACATTCTCCCACCTCCACCAGTGCCACCTGATCAGCTGTCACCATGGATGTGAACCCTTCTTCTCAGGTGATGGCAGAAACAGTCTGTGGAGTCCCAGCCTATTTCTCCTCTCTGGTTTCTCTCCTGGAACATGTTAGCAGAATCAGGTGAACGATGAGCCAGAAATGTCCCTCTTCTTCTCCCTCCCACTTTGCCTGACCTTCTTAGGGCACCAGCTTTGTATGAGCTAAATTACAAGTAAGCCAGCTCAACTTTGCCCACGTTGCAGCTATTATACCAGGATGCTTGACCTTGCTTAAAGCTCTGCATGGCAAGGACTGCGCAGATGCTCAAAGAGGGGAGGGATGTGTACTGAATGCCTGGCGGGATGGGTCTTCTAGTGCTTTATCTGCAACAAGAGGGACCCTCTGGGCTGATCTGCTAACCGCAGGGCTGGGAAGAAGGAAAGCTTACCAAACCAAGGCAAGAATGCCTAGGAAGAAAAAAAAGGTGAGTCAGACTGCTTACCAACATGTGCCAGGTGAGGTGCCTGGCAGGAGTGACTCACTGTGGATTACTACTGTTTTCTTATTCATATTGCTAACCTTGGACAAAAGAGAATCATTTAATAGGAGCCAGAAGTTTGGGACATTTGGTTATTCAGCATTTAGGAAAAGGAAGTTATCTGTGAAAGGACCGTAGCAGCTGACCAGAAACCTGTGAGTTGGATTCAAAGGGCTAAATTCTAATCTGAAACAAAATTTATTCATAAGTCAGCAGTCAAAAAGATAATTGGAACTGTGTATATATGCCATGTGCATGAAAGCTTAAAAAGATCTTGGGATGCAAATCACCGAGGAAAGGAAAAGCATTACAGGAGAGATGAGCGTGGTGTAAAAGTACCAGCAAGAAATCAGAACCTCTGGATATTTTAAGACTGGGATTTGAGTCATTAGGCAGTTAATTATTTCTTGGCATTTTAGAGTCTGATCCTAGTAATTTCATCAGGTATTTCTTATTCCTTACACTATTATAAAACTTAAAGCTGTGTTTAAAGATTTAAGTATCTGCCTGAGCAGGTGTCACTGATTTAGGCAGTAGTAGATTGCATTGGCATAGGGTGGTTCCACTATGACACATTACTGGTAATTTGTAAATTAATTTACATTTGCTTTAAATTTAAATTGGTATTTTTCTCTTACTCCTAATAGTGCTCTTGACTGTCGCTGTCCCTATTTCCTTGCCCAGTCCGATTAGGTTCCTCTAGGCCAGGAACAAATTGTAATGCTTGATTACACTTTGTTACTACTTTTAATTTTGTGGGTTTTACCCCCTGCTAACTTTCCTCCAAGGCAACACGTACAAACAATTCTATTTGTGTGAAGAAAATGCTGAGCTTATTTTGAAACAGCACGATTAATGCCATATTGAGTCACAGTGGAGCTTTTTATATTGCATAATCCTTAACACAGTAAGGTGTTGCCTGGCATAGCTCTGCTTTCACATCTGATTCATCGAGGTGATGCCAGTATAGGTCTATAAAGGAAGACAGCAGCAGTACTGATTTCTTCTAGTAACTCTGTACAGAAGGAAATGCTTCCCCTGCACCAAGAGGCTATAGGCACTGCCTAGTGTGCTGAGAGCACAGAGGCAAGAGCCAGGAATTCCCAAGATTTATTTTTGGTGCTGTCTTTGATTCGCCGAGGTCATGTCCCCCAGGATAGGCGCAGACACAGATGGGAAGCTCCCAGCTGGTCAGACACAGCCAGGAAATCCTGCTTAGGAATCGGTACGGCTCTGCTCCATGGTCCCATGGGTGCAGGGCTTCTGTGCTGATTGGTGCAGTTAGTGAGCCCAGAACATAGCAGAGGAACACCCATCTGTCTGTACCCACCCATATATTCTAGGGAGCTTAAAATATATCTCTCTGGGCTTTTATAGAGATTGCCTTTTTTTTCACTGAAGTCAGTGAGATATTTAGCTGTGGACTTCAGTAAGAACACCTGGCCTGTAGTCAGAGGTAAATAGAGGTTGGGTGAATCCACCCACTTCTAATTCGGATAGGACAGAGTTTAAGTGCTTCCCTCTGCCTGGCCCAGGACACTAACAAGACAAACTTGCTCCTTTTTAATTCATCCTTTTACTATTGAAAACCAACACTATTGTCAAAGTGTTTTGAATGTGTAAGCCTTGGCTGAGCAGTGAACATTGTTAGCAATTACTAGTCTGTGCCAGCACTGTTAACAACATTTACCTTTCTAATGTTTTGTTTTGAAACCATGGATTCCCCTCTCTAGAAGATAACAATTTTGCAATTAGATTATGTGCCTTCCAGTCTCCTTGCTTTGTTCAAAAAGTGAGAGAAAAAAAAAAGTACTTTCAGGTGTATTTAACTTTACAGAAGTAAAATTTGGTAGCTTCAGTATATTTTTTACAGAGTTATCACCATAAGTTAGTTAGTTCCTGTGTTAGGATGGAAGGTAAGAAAAAGTATGACTCAAGGCAGATGCTCTGTGGATTCTTTTTTTTCATCTTACTTAAACTCTCTTTTTCTTGCAGAAAGAGGACCTCCAAATATATGAAAAATACTGTCAGAACAAGCCAAGGTCTGAAGCTCTCTGGAGACAGTGTGGAGACAGCATCTTTTTTCAGGTGGAATTTTATTGCAGACTAGCAGTGCAAGACCATCAAAGCTTGTTTTCCTTCTGTATCTCTTCTCTCTTAAAAAACTTAGAGAAGTATACAGACTTTTCTGCATGCTTCTCATAGTGATGGCATGTGCTCAGGATGTGTCGAGGTGCTCTCTGCAGGAGACTAAGTAGGTAGAGTAGCAAGTAGCTTTCCTGGATGGGAGCCTGACTCTTCAGGCTATACCCAAACCAAAGAAGTTCTGGCTTCTTTGCAAACCCCAGATGACTGCAATCTTATGAGCAAGGCATGCCAGATTTTGACACTAATTTGAACCTAAACATTTGCTCTTGTTTAGATATATTTTCACTGTGGCATAAGTAGCCTGGAAACTCCTATGCAGATTGAACAAATTTCTTTCTCAATTAATTCACAGATTTATAATCTTCAGATTACCAAATGATAATGACGTTGGTGTCTTGCCTGAGCTTCAAGAAAGAATAGTATTTTTCTTCCTTGTTGTCTCTTACAGGAATGTCAGCGTAAATTGGATCATAAGCTCTCGCTTGATGCTTATCTCTTAAAGCCAGTCCAGAGAATCACCAAGTACCAGTTGCTATTAAAGGCAAGTTTTCCATGACAGTGTGAAGAATTGTAATGCATAGCTTGCTTTACTGACAGAATTGCATATCAGCATTATTTTCTGAAGGATTACCTGGAAATAAATCCTTTCTTCTTCAACAAATACTTTGTAATGCGAAGTTGTAAAATGGTAATAAACAGTCAAAGAAAGGACTTCTATTTCAGAATAAGTACTGCTATTACTTAGTAGTCCTTATATACTAAGCAATTGCAGTATATTATTTTATTTATACATAAAGTAATATTTTACGTAGTAAGTATTTATTGTACGGTCATACAGTTTGAAAATGGGAACTGACGCTTTAAATCCTGTCTCTGACATCTGTCCCTGTTTAACAAAACTCCTTCAGCTCTCTGAACTTAATATTTTCCCATGGTTGTGACTTAAACCTTTCAAAAGGAGCCACTCCCTTTTGGTGCTTCTGTTTTAAAGACCCAGCTAGGAAGAAATTGTAACTTTTCCACAGGATGAATGTGTGAACTTCCCTCTTGATTTGGTTGGACAGTGAGTGGTCCATGCTTGAAATTCTGGTCTGAACTGGGCAACAGGAAATATACGCTCTCAAACTAATGACATTTTTTGAAGATGGTGGCTTAGATTTCTGTCTTCATCTCCCCACTTCTTAAAATTAACATTTACTGACTTTTCTTATGGGAAGGTCATGAAGGTGAATCATGTGCTGTTCTCAAGCCTCTGGACTTAGTGTAGTGTTGTGTACTGTCATGAAACCTAGCATGAAATTTCCAATGAAGATTTTAGGCTGCAATTTTATTTGCTAATAGCTACCGTGGCACTGATCAAATTGTGCCAGTTTAAGCCATGTGAGGATGTGGCTGGCCATTCACTTGTGCAGTATTTCTGTGACCTATTTAATGACTTTACACAAAACTGTAGAATCCAAATATTGAAGGGGGATATTAATGAGGATGCAACCACTAATTCCAGTAGATTTACATCAACGTAATCCAGACGTCAATTTGGCTCTATTTCTTGAAACTATTCTGTGACAGTGAAGAAAATGTCAAGATGTTCAGAAGAACAAAAGTAAATCAGATTCTACTTTTAATTTAAAATATGACTGTAAATAAAACCAAGATTAGATCAAGGAGTAAAATTCTCAGGAAAAACAGGTTGCAGCAGTTGGGGTTGAAGCTGGTCAGACCAGTTTTGTACTCAGCAGCAACACATTGGTACTGGCATTTACTTTGTCAGGGTGAATGAGATCTGTGAAGAT